TGAGGTGTAGCTACTTCGTAGTTAGACACGTTGTTAGACAAGAACTTCTGTGGTCACTTGGGGCTAAAAACCAAATAGTAGTATGCATGTGAACAGGATACGCATGTTGTCTTCAGTGAAAGTAGAATTCTGTTTTACTGAAGCTCTCTGAAGTTAATGTTTCTGTGGTACATCTTACAGATTCTAGAGCTTGAGTTTATCAAAGCTATTCACAGCCTGAGCAGGAGGTCTACAAATTTTCCACACCTACAGGCTATGTATCCTCTTTTCCATCTCAGTATTTTACTGGTCATGTGATTCAGAAAGTAATATATGTTAATAGCAGCAATAAAGGACTGTTTCTTCCATCAATTGAGCACGAGGGAAATGATGCTTATTTCAGAGGTGAGATTTAAAAACCTGTGAGAATTTTATTTTTCAGTCATATTTCTAAAATTAAGAAAATAAACTTTGGTTATATAGAAATCTTTATCCCGTAGGTATTTTAATATATATATTTTTTGTTGTTGAGCTTTATTTAATATGTTATTAAAGCACTGATTAGTACACTCCTGGCTGCTAATGTTCACAGCTTAGTAAGCAACATACTTTTTAAAAGCAAGTGATTCTCTCCCTAGTGGGAAATTGTTAGTAATAACTCATGGGGTCTGATGCAGCTAAGTGTCTATAATTAACAACACCGCTCCATCTGTTCCCACCAGTCTGTTATTAGTCTTCTTCGGAATCATTACAAGTTAAAGATTGTTATAACAAATAATTGGACTCCTGCTGATGGAACATTTGTCTAGGAAAAAAGGGTTTTTGCTTTTCTTTCCTTTTCATACTTTTGCTTATTTATCATGGCTTTTTGTCTTCTCTTTGGTTAAGTCCACTTAAAACATGGCATAAAAATAAACTTTTAAGACGTGTACATTTGCTTTGGCTTATTTCTGTTAATGCTACATCTGTATCAAAACCATTGCAAATAAAGGGCAAAGTTAAAGACACAAGTCATGATGTCAAAGAAAGAACTTGCTCCAAAAGTCACCACATCAGCGGAAAAACTTCAGCACTAAATCTGTGCCTTGGACCCCCAGTACATGTTCATTTAAGGGTGCCAAAGGATCTTATCTCTGATTGCAATACGTGCATGGCCCTTTCTACACTCCAGTATAGATGAGCCTGAGATTTGTAATCCTGGGCTCCTCCTGCACCAGCAAGTGGAAAGCTAGGTACCTACAGCTAGGAATACATCACTGTCAGTATGAGACCATGGCGCAGTCTCAGAGCCTGGACCAACAATAAACTGATTGTCAACCCTGGACATGCTGCATGTTTAATTTTTAAGGTTCCATGCAAGCCAACCATTAATGTTCGGTGTTATATGTTTATATTACTGGTTTGCCATGTTAAGGCTCCTTAAATAGGGTACATTTATAGCGCCCTTGCCATTTTATGCTATGATTATTAGCACCTTTACACTTTACATTTATGCCACAGTTGAGGGACATAGTGCTTAGACATTGAAACATGTGTTGCTCTTTATTTAGAAAAAAAATATTTGAGTAACTTCTTTAGAAGTTGTTACATATATGGCCCAAACAAGTTTGACCATGTCACTTAAAAAATAAAAGAAGAACAAAAGGACTTTATGTGACACATCTGCGAAAATGTGATTTCTTTAAAAAGAAATATGGATTTTTTTTTTGTTACCTCTTCCATTAAAGCATATTTTCACTGCAACTTTAAGAAATAATCTTTCCCATTTGCCTCTTTCTGTATCATGATGCATAATTTGAGATGTATGTATAGATAGAGTAAATAAATAAAAAACAGGTTTTTATATGTGTATACACATACACCTATGCAGATACATACACATATACTTGACAGATGGCTCGCTCTCTCTACTTATCCCCAAAAGATTTGTCTTGGAAAACTCCTCTAACTGGGCCTAGATCCAGGGCCTCCAGTTTTACAAAAGGGCAGATTACCTTGACAGGTATTGGACTTTCCTTTTGTCTTACACTGGAAGATTAAGGTGACAGAATGAGAGCATTATGCATAAGAAAGTCTTCAAAAGAGGAAACAGTTCTTAAGACCAGTTGCCAACTTCATATTTTTTATCTATAACACATTATGAGCGATATATTCATTTTTAGAGCAGCCTAGAATGCAGTTGAGACACGATTGTCACCCTGCTTCTTGCCCTTGGCCATATCTTTTATTGCTTGCATTATTTTATTGCCTTCATTATTTCTGAGATTGTAATAGAGCAGAATGTAGCATATCATTATCCTAGTAAGTTGAGGTTAAGATTCAAGTGTTACTGCATTTCATCTTTGCTTTTTTTTCTAAATCAAAGAAGTAGAGATTGCTTTAAAAACAACAGGCTTCATTGGCTTTTCCTTTTTTTTAAATGATTTTTTTCCTTCACTGTTTTGGAGATGAAAGTCACTGTTTTTGTTACAAAGGATGCTTTCACCTCAAATGATAAACCAGAAATGTAATAGATTATTCAAGTTAGGAGGCAAAATTGATGATGGAGTTAGGTGTTTGAAGCAATTCTGCTTATTGACAAGAATTTACAAAGTCTTGCTTTCCTGAACACACACAGTTTTAGACGGTTCCTTTGCTTAGAGCCCTAAGACTCTTGCAATCAACACCTGAACATAAAACACAGACTTTTTTTTATCCCTAAACCACGAACTTCAGTTTTTCAGACTATTAGGCTTTAGCTCTTTGTTTATTTCTGGGATGACTCTCTGCATCTCAACTTGAGCTGCATGTCTTCCATTCATGCAGATGTAAACTTGCTCAGAACAATCGCTGGCAAAGTCCTTCCCACTCAGATGATTTAAAATCCCTCCGCACCCTTGTATTTACCTTTGAGCCTGGAGTCTTGTTTCAGCCACTTGCTTCCATGAAGGAGCTTGGTGACTTCTCAGAGCACTCTTTGAAGAACAGTAGCTAACCCAATAGATTAAACAAGGTTTAAATGCATGTGTTAGGGGATATAGTTCCATTTCACCAATCAGGTATGTGTCTCTTCACAAAATATCTTTTTAAAGTTACTTTAACTAGATTTTTTTTAGCTAAAGATTGAAAATCAATGCTTTGGTGAAGGTTGTTTTCAATCTAGAATCCCTCCTTTCTTTCCCCCAGTCAGTGCACATAAAGTTGCATTCTTCTCCTTTGCTACTGCAGTTAAGTTTCATTAAGGTCAGTAAGACAATAAGGTTTGTAGGACTGTCTTCACTTTATACATTTTACAAATAGCCGTTTCTTAACTTCTGCTTTCTGGAAGTATGGAAGTTTAGGAACAAAGATAAACTAGTCACAACATTCAGGCAAGAAGTGCATTAGGAATTTGAGCAGCCTGGTTCATATGTACAGAGAAGTGAGAGAGGATGGGACGAGACTAAAGGGGAAATGATTCAGGTAGGTGACAAGGAGCAGTGTCAGCAAGAGGCCCAACAACTCACTAATAGCAGAAATCAAAGATTTTCCTCCTTCCAGACATGATGTGCCATTTGTGCGGGCCAGGCACGAGCCGGGCCCTTTTTCATGCTGCACGCGGGCTGTGGCCAGCAGCCCGGGCACGCGGGGTCGGAGAGAGGGGCGTGACAAGCTAGAATTAGGCACAGACTCGTAGCGGTAGTTTTAAAGATTGTTTACTTACACCAGAGATGGTTGCGGTGCAGGCTGGAAAACTTGCTTGAGTTGCGGTTACAGACAAAGGCAACACGGACGGTCACGTGGAGTTTGCTAGGCTCCACGGAAACAGAGCTCCGGATGCTCTGGGTGAGCGCGCCACCAAAATCGGGCTCATAGATACGTCTTATAATTTTTCTCTCTCGAAGACGGGAAGAGGTGGGCGATGGATCAAGTCGCCAAG